ACGTTGAGAAGCGTTGATTAGAGCCCAAAAAATGTCTGGTGCATTTACGGCCACTTCAACCCTACCGGTAGAGAAATTGCCTTCAATATGCGTCACTTTGGAATGTCGTATGAAACTTGCAACCAACATGGGTTGGGAGTGAACCATAGACAATAGGCAACGAATGAGCTCTTGTTTCATCTCCACTGCAAAGCAAATGCTTCGTGGTTGGGTAAAAATGAAAGCACCCTGTCAGAAAACAAAAACAAAAAAAAGGGAAGGAAAAACAGGAAACGAATTCAAAGAAGGGGATGAGTTAAAAGGCTATGCGTCAATGTCTATTCAATGTTTGCCTACAACCACAAAAAAGTAAAAAAAACGCACAGGACTGTGTCAACTCAACCACATTCTCCCTCCTTACAGTGATGACAAAAAAAAGTCCATCCTTACGGCATTTGAGTTGAGAAGTTATGCACCGTTTGATTGTCACCTGTCAAGACGATAGTTATGGTGGCAGTCAATATCCTCTCAGCTCCAATACGTGACAACCTTTCCTCCTCTTTTTTGACCTTTTGAAGACTAACAGAGGTGAGAAAAGTGAACTCTGCATCACTACTTGACTGTCTCACATTACATCCTCCGATACCATCAATCTTCTCCCACCGATAGCACTGTTCTCTGGACAAGATTTTAAGCACAGATGTCAGGCGCCCAAACTGTCATCAGCATGCATCCCTCTTTGAGTGTTTCTTTTAGTCATTCGACAAGTTACCATAGAATCCATTAGACTTGGCGCCTTTTGACCCACTTCAGCTGTTTCACGTGTGGCAAGATGAGCCTGCAGCAGGGAGTCGAGAATCACCATCAAATCACCAATAGTGAAGAGTAGAGCAATCAGTCTGTCCTCCACAGTTGTAATCAGGGGTTGTGAAGTACTGTCAACGTCCTGGATTGTTGGAAGGAGGTTGAGTGTTAAGAAGACACTACCTCGCATAATTGCAAGCATCTCTTGACCATCATCGTCGGGCAGAGCCTGTAAATGCAAACACACACACACACAAACAGCCAAAAGTGTGAAATTGAAATGTTTGTCTAGTTGCTACCATATTTCACTACAATGACCTCATACATCTCGTCAA